TGAGTCGGTGAAACTCCGACGAAACAGTTTGTCACAGCCCCTCGTTTGTTGTCCTCTTCTCTCTCTCTGCCTACGGTTTACCGGGCAGTTCTGTTTGTGACGATATATATATATACATATATACATCCGTCGTCACTTGTTCGGGGATCAGCAACCTGTTTCTTCGTCTGACCCGATTCTCTCTGTGCCTCCTCCACAGGTTGTTGTGGTTCCTTTGTTTCAAACGGCAATATCCGCTCCTATGCCTCCTCCATACAGTCCAGCTGCCTGCAGGCAGCCATAGTACTCTGCGGCGTTAGATATTCATGACTCACTTGTACAACACGATGAGGCCCCTGCCCAGAGTACACTCCCGACTCCAAGTATAGTCCCTACTCAGGATGCAGCCGCTGCTCATAGTACAATCCCGACTCCAGGTACAGTCCCTACTCAGGATGCAGCCCTAAACATTGAGGGATTGGAACATGATCTGCCCGGATTGTAGTTGACCCCACAAGGCATAGACCACATGGGGGATTTGCAAATGGCTGACCGGCATTGTTCAGATGAACCTCAACTTTGTGCCCCGCCACGCGCAGACCACATGGGTGATCTGCAAATGACTGACCAGCAAACAACTCAACACAGTTTGGGTTTGCAACACCATCTGGGTGATCTGCAAATTGTTGGCCAGCATCCAACAAACTAGTCTGAGAACCTCACCAATCTTTGTGGTCTGACAGCAACTAATATTTGTCTTCACATTCTCCACCGCCCGTTTTATACACCATCAGACTTCCTTGCAATCGCCCTTCAGCTTGATGCTGATCTTCCCCAACTACAGCCAGAGGATTGTAATTATACCACTGAAGGAGGTTTTACCATTGCTGTCCTACAAGTAGCAATGAGGGACCGCCAACTTGAACTACGCAATGCTCGAGCAGGTGAGTGGTTTAATCCTCCATCCAACATCTCTGCCTGCAGTGTTGCAATAACCCATGCTGTATGCCTCGTGGAAAGTTTGAGGGCTACAGGCCGCGCTCAGACCTAGACCGAAGGGGGGCAAAACACCCCACAAAAAGATTCAGGACCTGGACGAGAGACAGTTGACCAAGTCAATTGTCGGTCTACCCAACAGTCAAAGTCAAAGGTACCCAGCCCAGGCCGTCGGTCGGGCACGCACATTTGTTCGTATGCAGGTACCCAGACAGTATCGGGTCCAAAGGGGAAATCTGCAATTGTACACAATCCAGACCCTCGGCTGTGAGTCAATCTGGACGATTGTGGGGGAGGGAACCGAGGCGAGACAGCCTCGTCAAATGCTACTTAAAGGCTGGCTTCGAGGTGGTCAACATTCAGTCTTGCTATGTTGCTTGGACGTTGGCTTGACTTCAACTAGACGCTGGCATTGCCGCTGGCAGGACGCTGGCGATACGCTGGCTGCACACAGGCACTGTGGAGGACGACGCGAACTGTGACACCATGCTGGCGCGTTCTGCATTGGGCGCCAGACATTGCTGATGTGGCGCTGCCACCTATCTTCAATGCTGATGCGGCGCAGACCACTTATCTACATCGTATGCTGATGTGGTGCTGCCTATGGTCTACATTACATGTTGATGTGGCGCATGCCACTGGTCTTCCTTGATGATGTGGCGCATGCCACTTGTCTCAACTGCTGATATGGCATTGTCCACGCTGTCTACATGAGGTGACTGGTTGCGAGGAGGAGGAAGATCGGGATCCTGGATGATTGGAAGCGGGATACTTACCTGAGGCTGACGTGATATTGTTCGCTGCTGGCTCTCTTCATTGTCCCTATGAGAGAGTGGTGCCATGTGGCACTTCTCTGATACCGGGACTTACCAGACATGTTACTGTTATTTGATTGATGACGTGGAGGGAGAGGAAGCCCGGAGAAGAAGTGGGATTGGTTGGGTTACTATTGTGTGATCTGTGAATACTTCTCCCACCTTCTTCCTTGTCTATCCTCCCTCCACTCTCTTCATTTATTGGTAATGAGATGCTGTTGTGGATATCATTTTCACATTAACTGGAGACTTTACACAGATCTGAGACTACTGGAACTTCGACATCTGTTGAGTATCTTCCTGACTGGGTTCATTACAGTGTGCACGGCCCTGGCCATTACATGGCCATTGTACATACCTCTGACCACTAGGAGCTGTGGGACAATGGCACCATGGTCCTTTCCGTGATTGATGTCACTGATGTTTGACAATATGATGATGTTTTCTTGCCACAACAAACCGTCCGCAATCTCTTTTGTGTCGAAGATCATTCCTCTAGCCCCGTGCTGCAGCAAGACAATGTACCAACACTCTGCGACCTTCTCCTTTGCACAGCCACAAACACTGTTAGACTCGGCTGTAGCCGCCATCGTCTCTGTCACAATCACTACAATGGCATGGTTTCTGCATCCATGTGT